AAACGCGTGAAACTGGCATTTAAACGGCGCATTAGTATGCTAGGACGTGTATTGCACGGCGCACGTGCGTTGCGCATGCAAGGAAAGGAAGGGATGAAGGTCCTGGCGCAATCAAAATGAAGCTGTTGTGGCGCACGGGTCTACCGCTGTCGGCTGGTCTCGGTACGGGGGCGAGCGGTGCCATAGACACCGTTCTCAACCAGTTGCGCACATACGCTGGAGACATGATCGGTGTTGCTAAGAACGCCTCGCTCACGCTCTATCCTTCCACTCAACTAGAGTGGATGTACCCTATACTTGATTGCATGGCCTTGCTGGTCTCAAGGGAGTTGCTAACTTCGTATGGGGTGATCCCGTTCACACGTCGGAACTGGACTATGCCGCAAAACACATTGCTGGGAAGTTTGCTGGTAGCAAGCCGACTTGGCAGATGGCGAGGGACCCAGCGTCCACATTCTGGACCACCCTGCAGAGGATAGGCTGGACGATTCTCAGCCCAACGGGCATCGGGGCCGACCTCGGGCAAACGTACTCGCCGCACCAAGTGGCGCCCAAACAACGTGGAGAGCAGGCTGGTCCAGTCCGTCTACCGCTGGCAGGTCTTGAGAACTCGTGGGCACATGTCTGGAAGCATTGGAGACGAGCTCATGTGGCGTAGGGCTGTGAGCACGGCAATGCGCACGATACCTTGTGAGGGGTCGACGTGGCGCGATACGTAGCCTGTGGCCTGCTGGTCGCCGTTGCCCAGACAGGGCCTTCGACTTGGGACTCGCCAAGCCTAGAGAACACATTCAGTGTGGAGATCCCATGGGTATGCTTACCAATCAGTGGAACTGATGCGAGAAATTGCGTGACGTTTCGGAGATGCTGCCCGAGCCCATCCCAGGGGGCGTGATCGAGTCCAGGGAAGGTCCCCGCAAATTGGTAGATGCGAATTGCGGCGGTTGCGAGACATTCGATGTCACACATGGCCCGCCGATGGAGCCGTTGCAGCCGAAGCGGCCAGACGCTGAGACGGACGTGCTTGAGTGGGGTGACACCCGTGACATGTGTGGTCCCGCGGTCTGCACGGACGCATCAGGGCTGCACGACGCTCATCCTACGCTCTGTAGGGTGGGCTGGGCTGCCGTCCAATTGTGCCCTCAGGCGGGACGGCCTGTTCCCTGTTCGTGCACTGGGCGGACGGCGCCCTGGTATCGAGCAGACTGTGCCGAGGGCGAGAGATATGCGGAGCTGCGGGTGCTCAAAAGGATGGCGGGGCCAGGCCTTGTCGTGTCGGACCGCCCCAACTAGGTCGAGGAGGCTCTGAAGCGGGTACCGCCGCTTGCGGCAACCTCATCGAAGCATGCGTCGGCATGGAGAATGAGATCTCAAGTGTGCTGCTATGATGTTGAGAAGTGCAGCTGCTAGACGCTTCGCGTATCCCCACCAGCTCATCCAGAAACGATGTCCAGGCGAGTTGAGGTGATCAGGGAAGTGCGGGAGCAAAGAGGTGGACGGCCGAACCGCACGAAGGAGGGAGGATGGGAAAAAAGGAGACTGATGAAGAAGATGCTATGTTAATGATGCTGGTGATGAGGAGGAAGAGGAGGAGGAGGAGTATGAGGAAGGAGGAGCAGGAGGAGGAGTGCGAGCTAAAGGGCCAGAGGTCTCTTGGATGCCTCTCGGGGCCTCTTGGGATATCGCTTGAGCGGTTCTTGGTGGCCTCTTGGAACGTATTGGGGACCTCTTGGCGGTCCTGGGGGGCTCTTGGGCGTCTTGGGTGCTTCGGGGGGGGCCCTCTTGGAGCGTCTGGGGGGCAGTTTGGGTGCCTCGGGGATCCTGTTGAAGCCTTTTGGGGGCCCTTGGAGGCCTCTTGGGCGCCTCTTGGGGACTCCTGGGCGCCTCTTGGGGCCCTCTTGGGGCACCATCTTGGAAGAGATCGATGAAAGAAGGAGAGATCTTTAATTGCGCCCCCCCCCCTCGGGAGCCCCCAAATGGGGCCAAAGCACAAGTAAAACCAATGGTGTTGGCTTCCTCGCCGAGGCCATTTTGGACGCTCCGACCGCTCGCGGAACGCGCCGTCCAGGTCCAGGGGAGGGGGAGGGGGTGGGGCAAACCCAATCCCCGAAGGAGAAGAAGGAGGGGTAACAGAGGAAACACTCTAGACCACCTACGCCCAAAGGGCTGGTGGGATTTGAATGGACCCGTGCCCGAAAGAAGGCTTACGAGTATGTCGCTAACGGGGGCAGTCTGGCACATTCCTTGGCGAATGCGTGGGCGGACGTATTTGCATATGGATTGCGGGATATAAGTAACAGGCGCGTTAGCAAACAACTACAAAATCCTGCTGAAGATCGCCACCGCCACTGCGCGTCATCTCGCGTTCCTGGTATCGAGGGCGGTGCGTACGTACCGTGAAGTGGGAGGATGACCAGCCGCCGCCGCCGCCAAACAAACAACTGTGCGCCACAAAGCTTGTGTTCACAGAGCATGATCTGGCGCAAGTGAGTGAAACCGTTGTGCGTTGAAATAATGGTCTGCGTGATACTCAGAGACGTCTGAAAGCTATCGGGACATTTTTCCTCCCTGTGCCAAAGGCCGCCTGTCCTTTGGGACGGGCACAGGATCGTTTCCTGGGGACCTGCTGTTATTCGCAGGCTGCGCGGCCACTGCAGTCTGCACATAGGCAAGTATGTTAAGAAGCTGAAGCCGGAACGCCGCGGGCCGCCCCAGAATCGCCACGTGCTTTCTAATGTCAAGTGTACTGTGAAGCGTTGAAGGTCTGGTGTCGAGCCCAAGAATGGGGACCCGATCCCAACGTGAGTCCCAGGAGCCACCCCGCTGTCTGTGTTTTTGTTTCGTTCCTGGCTGACGCCACGCCGCCCCACGTACGTGGATAGGGCCTGGGTGGCCCGGCGTGTCTCGCTTCATCGACCTCTGGGCTGATATTTCGGCCCCTTGGACCTCTGGGCTGATTTCTCGCTTCATCGACCTCTGGGCTGGTTATCCTGGGGCGCCCTCAACTCGGCCCCCTCCCGTTCCATCGGGTTCGGTCGGGTCTGCTGGACTTGGACCCCCCTCCTCCTCCTCCTCCTCCTCCTCCTCCTCCTCCTCCTCCTCCTCCTCCTCCTCCTGGCTCAAGTCGGCTCTCCGCCGGCTTGGGCGGTACTCATCTTGGCTCGAGCTCTGCACATTTCAGCTCGCCAAGCTCTACCGCTCTTGCCGAGAACCTCCATATGCTGGATGTCTGGTGCGCCGCCCATCCGCGTGCGGCCCCCCGGCAGACCTCTGGCAGCGCCGCCCGTCGGGCTCGGGCGCGAAAGGTGGCCATCCGGCATGCGTAAGTGCAGGCGCTGGCCGTGAGCCGCCTGCTGGGGTGCAGTACCCCGCCCGGACTCGACCTCGGCTTCGAGAACACGCGCTTCGCGGACACCGCGTACGGCCTCGAGCTGCCGATCGAGCAGGCCCTCGATACGGACGCCCAGTACGACCTAGTGCTGGACACGCTCGGGATCGCGCCGTCCGTGCCGACGACCGCCCCGCTCCACAGGGGCGACGAGGAGGAGGACACCAACTTCCTCACCACGGAGGCGCCGAATATACCGCTTGTCGTCGAGGACTACACCATCACCAAGCGCGGGACTCTGCAGGAGGACCAGATCACCGCGAACTCCGAGGATGGAGACCTCGAGCCCTCGACCAGGGAGGCGCCCTACGTGCCATCTGTCGTCGAGAACTACGGCTTCATCATGCGAGACACCCTGCAGGAGGAAAAACTCAAGGACACCTTCGAGGACGGAAGCAACCACGACTCTAACAAGGAGGCGCAGTGCGTGCCGCCGAACATCGAGAACTACGGCTCCACCACGGAGACCACCATGAGCAACACCCTGCAGGAGGAGAAGCTTCCAGAGGACAGGGACATCGACTTCCTGGCCATGGAGGCGCCGCAGGTGCTGCAGAGCGGTGAGACAGACGGCAGCACCATGCGCGCAACCCTGCAGGAGGAGAAGCTCATTGATACTGTCGAGGAGAAGAAGCTCTTCGAGAAGCAGAACGACGTTGAGGAGGAGGAGGCTGGAGGCACGCAGGCAGAGTCTACACTTGCCATTGTCATATGCTGGAGCTACAAGGACTCCAACGGGAACTGACAGAGCGTGAACGACAAAAGCCAGCACGGTAAGATCGAAACGAAGTACTTGGAGTACCTCCTCGACAGCAGCCAACACGTCGCGAAGGTCGGCATGCTCGACGCGCGCCTCGTTATCAATTTCAAGGCTAGGTACTTCAGACCAGCAGGGAGCCGAGGTGTATCAGAGCGTCGTGACATCAGAAGGCAGATCATCAGCTCTGCCAGGTAGTGAACACCAGTAGCCTATGCACCCTCTTCCGAATGGGCCGCCGCGGCTGTAGTAGGCAGAGTGCTCTGGTATTGTTGCTCGCATATGCTGAGCTCTTCTCTGTTGTGTGCACGCCTTGCTTGTTGCATGTGACATCTGAGCTCGTACATGAAGATATGGAGACTGTCCTGCCAGTTGCCCCGCCGCCGCCCTCTCACGGAAGAGGCCAGGCGGGGAGCTTGGTGAAGAGCTGGCAGGATGTAACAGCAGCTTGAAGGCTGCCCCCGTCTTTCCCTGCCCATCCCTGCCGTCCTGCTCTTCAATGTTGGGGCGGAGATGCAGGGCGATTGAAGGAGAGCGGATGTAACCCCAAGGTTAAGGTTTGGGTCGGGTCGGCCAAACCTTAGCCTTCCCCCCCGTAGCATGTGATGGTCCTCCTCCTCCTCCACCTCCTCCTCCTTCTCCTCCTCCTCCTTCCCATCATCCTTCTCCTCCTCCTCCTCCTCCTCCTCCTCCTCCTCCTCCTCCTCGTCCTCCTGCTTCTCCTCCTCCTCCCTTCGCCCTCTCCGGATCCGACACCCGTCTGCTCCCACGATCCGCTTCCCCCCCCCCCAGACTCCCCCGTCCCCCTGCCGCCAGGGGCTCGCGGCCAAGGAGGCCCCGCGGAGGTCGCGGGGCCTCAGGTCCAGCGCGGCCGAATACACGCTCACCCCGTCGGTGACCACAAAGTTCCGCCCCGACGCGTCGCAGGAGAGGCCGCTCGGCTCGAGGTGCGGATGGGGCCAGGAGGCGGCCACCAGCTCGGGGCGCACCACGTGGTCGGGGCTGGGCGGCGGGGGGAGGGCGGGGACTGGACTGGACCGCCGCCTGGGGTGCCGAAGTTGGCTGGGCGGTCCAGAGTACTGCTGTGATTCGGCGGCGAGCTCTGGGGGGAAGTGAGAGGGGGCAGGCCTTCTGAAAAAGGCGGCGGGGCTTCTCAGAAGCCTCCAGCCCCTCTGAGAAGCCGTCTGTGCCAGAGGGCTCCGGAAACTTCTCAGAAGGCCCAGGGCCGTCCGAGCCTTCTGAGAGGGCCCGCCCCCTCTCATTTCCCCCCCGTGGGCTCGCCTCAGGGCAAGACTCCGAACGCTCAGAGGCGGGTCCTGCCCCTAGCTCGAAAACCCACGGCACAACGGGTCTGTCGAAGGAGCGACCCCTGTGGGGCTGGCGGGGTGGGTGGCTCGGGACCAAGCGATGGCATCAGCAGAGCGACTCGGAGGTCCGCGCGGATTTCTCGGATCGGCGCTGCACCCCCGCCCCCCTGGCGCGCGGAGCCCGAGGCGCCGCCAGGGGGCCCCAGGGCCGATCCGAAGCCGCGCGGACCTCGGAGCTGTCATGTGAGCGTGTTTGATCCGGCGTTTCGACATTGGGCGGAAAGGTGGGGAGGGGGGGGGCTGGCTCCGGACCTCTGCGTAAAGCGACTGTTTGCGACCGTGCGGCCTCTGGGGGAGAGGCTCCGCCTGCTCGAAACAGGCGCCAAAAAAACAGCCAAGGTCTACTCCACGGGGGGGGGGGAGGGAGGGGTGCGAAGGCCCGCGCCGATCGGCCAAACAGCGGAAAAAAAGACGATTACTATGTCGTCGCTTGTTTCCCTACTACTGGGGGGGGGGGGGGAGGGCGGGAGAGGCGCCGCCGGCCTCGTCCGCCACGCACCCTCCCTCGCCGTGGCCTCCCTCGACGGCGTGCTCAGGCCTCGAGCCGCGGAGGCCTCTCGAGCGGCTCGCGCGTGCCGAGCGCGCGCGCGCGCCGCGGGCGGCAGGGGGGAGGCAGGCTCGGCGGTTCGAAGATGGGTCCCTGGGTAGGAGGGCACCAACTATACACCAACACCGATCCTGGCCAGGATCACCCTGGGCCTAGGATCGGTGTATACTCCCTCCTGCCTGGGGCAAGAAGGCATATACACCGATTCTGGGCTCAGGATTGGCCTGGCCAAGATCGGTGTTGGTGTATAGTTGGTACCCTCCGACTGGGGGATGGGGTTCTCAGGACGAGGTGCCACAAACAACGTCAATCGGCCCCTGGATCCAGTCCTGTCCGCAGGCCCCCGCCTCTCGGGCCCCGTGCTTGGACCGCCGACGGAGGCGGACGCGCCCCGAGCCCAGACCTGCAATCATGGCCACTGCAAGACTGGGCGTGCTCGCCGCCACTCCGTGCAGCACGGATACAGGAGGACCACGACGACCAGGGCAGGCCGAGCCGAGCCGGGCAAGGACCTCGATGCCGAGGCTGGGAGGCATCCACTGCTCGCGTTCCTCATCCTGCGCCTGCTGCTCAAGGCAAAGAAAAGGAGGGGCATCCTGGCGTGGCCGATCAGCGAACCCATCGAGAGGAGCGACGGCTTGGACTGCATCGCCATTCTCGCCTGCGCCACCACCGGCGCCTGCCCACGCAGCTACCCGTCCCCGCGCCGGCGGAACGAGACCATGAAACGCAAA